TGACGAGGAACACACGGTTTTTAGAACCGTGCCAACGTATCCGCTAACGACGGAGCGAATTCCGGGAGATGAGTCTCCCGAGGATGAGGCAATACATATACCTGAGATTCGGGTGGATTGTGGTCCCCCGAGGAGGTGGTACGGACTTACTCTGCCAGGTTCGGGCCCGAACCTGACAAGTATTTCCGCGGCGGATGGTCGGCAAGGGAGAGTTGCAGCGATTGGCTCTCTCGTTATAGTCGACGGCGTCGGTTGTAGCCGACGTCAGGTGAGCTCCGGTATTGAGAGGTGACATCAATGCCGGAGTGGGGACACGCCTAGCATCGAGAGGTGCCATCGATGCTAGGGTGGGGTGATGTGTTCGGGCGGAGAAAATAAAAAGATACTTATGCCGGATTCCGAGTGGTTGAGGAGTAGATGGATTCCGAGGAGAGAGGTGGTTGTGCTATGCACATGGGGAGTACTTACCTACGCATGGTGCGCGTAGAGACGATTTGACGGACTCTGTCCTGCGACATGTCGTACGGCCGACTTGTCGTACGGACTTGATTGTGATTGCTGCGTGCTTACAGTGATTCATGTTTTCAATTACTGTTTATTAGAATACTAGTATATACACACATATATATATATGCTTGTGTTTTCCCTGGCACCATGAGAATGGAACTCCGGGTTACGCCCGAGTTCACTCTCTAAGCAATTAGCTTAGGACGTTGTTACGCAACGTTTCAGGTCGTGAGCAACAGTAGCCGAGGAGCGGACATCGAAGACTGGTGTGACCTGCCGTGTGATCATGTATAATTATTCTCTACGGTACAATTACGTTTTCGGGGAACGGTTTGTGTTATATCGGTGGTAGACTTTTATGGTTTGTAATAATGTGATACTACCACTGTGTATGTATAATTATAACTGGAATAATGTACCGTATATGTATGTAAGAAAGTTTCTTCCGCTGAACTCTAAAAATAAAAGTTTAAATTCCCGCGGATTTCTTGGAAATGCGATTTTTATTTTACTTGTCCATGTGGCGCAACTTGTATTGCGGGATACGGGTTTCGGGTGTCACAGATCTAGCGTTAAGTTTCTAGGTTTCACGCAGCGGAAGAAAAGATCTAAACATAGCCAAACGTCACACAAAAACCAATTGTGCAATAACCCGAGAGAACGTGTATATCACCGTGGGATTTGAATACTTACCTCATTCTATCAAGATTTGGAAGTATCAATCGATCCAAGGCCTGTTTTAATCACCAAGAGCTGAAAGTACAACTCTTCTACACGTATCCACACCGACGGGAAGGATTCCAACACTTTGGAACATATCTACTAGGATTTTGAAGAGAAAATGACGTCCTTGACTTGGAATCGATATTCCGGGGTTTAGAACTCAAAGAGAAAGCTTCTCCAAGGCTCTAGGAAATGTCTAGGATGTCTTAGGTTGATTACCTAGGGTTTGGGGCGGCTCCCATAATTAATAGTAGGGGTGGACACGGGCGGGTACCCGGAGTTTTTAGAGTATCTTTATCTCGGTCTCAGTCTCGTCGGGTTATTGTTTAGAATGTCTCAATCTCTATATCACGAAGCCCGGGTACCCGTGATTCGGGTACCCGAGATATGAGACTAGGTACCCGCGAGACCCAAACACGGGTATAATTTAAAAAAAAACTAAACAAAATTATAAGTTAATTAAAATCCAAAATACATCATCTTGTTCGGGACATCCAAAATAAAATTCCAAATACTTCCATAATACATCAATAATTCAAAACAATCCTTGAATAAAATCCAAAATATAAAGTTCAAGAACGGTTGTATTTGGTTGGGACATCGCAACGTTTTGCTCCGTATTTGAATGGTCTACCACCATAGAAGACATAAATCTGCAAAATCAACAATAACAAAAAAAAAACAAAATTTTCCAGGGAGAGAATGTAATGGCGTTTGGAGGCGAGTTTGTGATAGATCAATGAATGGGCACACAGGGAAAGAGGGTTTGATAAAAACCCTAAAAAACAATCAAAATTTCTCGGAAAACACCCAAAACATCGAGAGCACAGAAGAGTCTGTACTATGATGCCATCGTCGGCTTGATGTGGAGGGCCGATGAGCGAAAAAAGAAGAATCTGTAACAAAAAAGAATCGAAAATAATTCGAACAGTGAATGAGAAAGAGGAGCAAGGTGGAGAGAAGCTCAGTCAACAGAGAACGAGACAGGCTGAAAACTTACCGTGACGACGGAACCGAGGAGGAGCACGGCGGAGATGAGCTGAAGAGAGCACGACGGAGATGAGATCGAACGAATCTCGCAAGGACAGGGAGAGCATGGCGGTCTCTCCTTCTGTAGAGAGAGGAGACCAAAAAGTTACCAAAAAAAAGTGGCGGCCATAACTGAGGGTAGAGACGAATTAGGGTTATTAGAGAAAAGGGTATTTTTGGTAAATATATTAAAAATTAAGGGTGTTTTATTAATTTTTATTTTGTCGGGTACCCGTGAGATAACCCGTCGTGTAATATCTAAACTCGAACCCGAAACTCGGGTTTTTCGTCTCACGAAACCCGTCATTTATCTTATTATCTCACGAGTAATGAGATCCGGGTACCCGTGAGATAGGGTACCCAGAAACCCGCGGGTTTCAGGTAAAAATGCCCAGCCCTAATTAATAGGATTGCCTAAAACCCTAATTATGCGAAAAAAGGAAGTTTTTCCTGAAAGTCGGACCGTCCAGTCTAGGTTTGGAACGAATGGTCTGACCCTCGTGGAACAAACGGTCCATCTCCAACAGAACGGACGGACCAGACGGTCTGGCCGTCTGGAATCTTCTAGCTTGTTCTGTCGTCCCTTCTCGCATCGTACTCTTCACATGTGGTCCATCCTTAATCGTGTGTGACCCTGTAGGCCCATTCGAAGTGTTAGTGGCTTTGGAAACTCTTTTCCGAACCACAAGTCATGGTTAGCCTCTAGCAAGACGTCATGACCACCCACCTAGAATAGAGTTAGAGGTGATCTAACAAAGCCAGCAATAGCGTTACAACCAACAATCTCTCACTATGTTCTATGATCTATCCTACAAGCATCTAATCCCCATACCTCTAACATGACTATTATGCTTTGACGAAGGGAGAGGCTTCGTCAATGGGTCGGCAATATTATCATCTGTCGACACTCTGCTTATCTTCATATCTCCTCTGTCGATGATTTATCTGATCAAGTGAAATCGTCTGAGTATGTGTTTGGATCTCTGATGTGACCGAGGTTCCTTAGCTTGTGCGATCGCACCATTGTTGTCACAGTACAACTCAATGAGATCTGCAATGCTAGGAACAACTCCCAGGTCTCCCACGAATTTTTTTATCCCAACAGCTTCCTTAGCTGCATCCGATGCTGCTATATACTCGGCTTCTGTAGTCGAATCTGCAACGGTTGGCTGTTTGGAACTCTTCCAACTAATAGCCTCACCGTTCAGGTAGAAAACGTTAACCTGACTGCGATCTGAAGTCATCTCTGTCGGTCTGGAAACTAGCATCAGTATAACCCCTTATAGCTAGCTTGTCTTCCAATCCGCTATATACTAAGAACAAATCCTTAGTCCTTCTCAAGTACTTAAAGATGTCCTTGACCACAATCCAGTGAGCCTCACCTGGTGTAGACTGATATCTATTAGTCATACTCAATGCATATGATACATCCGGACGAGTAACATGGCGTAGATGATGGATCCAATTGCCGAGGCATATGGAATCCTACTCATGCGCTCTTGCTCATCCTGTGTCTTTGGACACTGAGTCTTGCTAAGAGCCACGTCATGTCCCATTGGCAAGACACCCCTCTTGGAGTCTTGCATCTTGAACCGATTCAAGACTTTGTCAATGTATGTATTCTGACTTAGACCAAGAAGCCTTCTCGATCTATTTCTATAGATCTTGTTTCCTAGAATATAGGCGGCTTCTCCTAAGTACACATCCTCGAGCAAATTCCCGTTATGGAATGCGGTCTTGACGTCCATCTGCCATATCTCGTAATCATAATATGTAACTATGGATACAGCAGATCCCGATTGCACAGCAGTCAACCAGATAACTCATCATGAAGATATTGACGCTGCTTTTTGCGTACGAGATTTGGAGGTAAAGAAACGGCCGAATCCACTGAGAGATACAAAACTCAGCTCATCAGCTTAGCCTTAAGATTGACAGATCGATGAGAAGCATCTTATTCTCCTTGCAGAGTCCGACAAATTCAGGCATGAACAACATCCTACAACATTCGTATTCTTTATTCTAGTCTTTTGGAATCACTTTTGCCCACTGCCCAGGGAAATCCCTTAGATTTTGTATAGCAATCTAATGTATACGGACTGAACTTTGTTTTTTTTGGAAGTAATACAATCATATTTAAACCAAAAAATAAAAACAAAAACAAGGGATTTTGTTCCAAAATTCACGAGAAACATTGCATCCATTCGTCTTCTTCACTCCACTTTGCCTTCTAGATCTCTTTCGTTTATTTACGTAATCACATTAAACTACAGAAAATCTACTGGGGGTAATGTATCAAATTAAATTACATAAAACAATTTTGGAATTTTAAATTTTCAGTTGAACGTATCGAATTAAATCTTAAATTCGAAAATTAAAAATTATATGACGTGAACTAATTAAAGGAAATCTATAGAAAAGTTGGCCAAAGTATCAAATGAATGACCTAAAATAATATCGGAGATTAAAAATTCGAGAGGATACAAAAGCAAGATGCCAAATGTATAATGTAACAAAGAATTAATAGTAGGGGTCCGTCCACCATAGATGTGCTCGCCTTCATGCTCCACGAACTCATATTCTATCTTGAAATTGCAAACCTTTTTGGATAAATTTGAAATTATATATGTTTTTTTATCTACTATTAAATTACTTTATATTACTCGTTAACTGTTTTGTTATTCCATGTAATTTTTCAACCCTTTTCCCCTCCATTTGAGCCTATAAATTGAGCTCCTCTATCGTTGCCTCCAATCACCAATCAAGCAAAACACACACACACATCTGTTGCATATAAGAGGCTGTTTCAAACAGAGGCTTCGAGGGGGAGAGAGAGATGGTGAAGAAGACAGACTTCCCAGTGATAGACCTGTCGAAGATCAATGGTGAAGACAGAGCCCTAACCATGGCAATGATCCATGATGCTTGTCAGAATTGGGGCTTCTTCGAGGTATATATATACATATACACATGCACATATATATGTACATGTATATACATCAATACACATGTAACGATTAAAACATTGGGAAAAATGAATGATTAAAATTGACGCAGTTGGTGAACCATGGGGTACCACTAGAACTACTGGACAAGATCGAGGAGATGACAAAGGGACACTACAAGAAGAGTTTGGAGGAAAGGTTCCAAGAAATGGTCAAAAGCAGAGGTCTGGATGCCCTTCACACAGAAGTCAACGACGTTGACTGGGAAAGCACCTTCTTCCTCCGTCACCTTCCTGACTCCAATCTCTACGACATCCCTAATCTCTCCGACGATTACAGGTTTGGCCCCGAAAACCCTAAACCCTTACCCAATCATATTTCATATATACTTATATAAAAGTTCTATATATATATATATATGTTTATATGTGTGTGTGAAAGTAAAACATATAACATATACATAACAAATAAAATTACGTACAAAGCCAAGACTAAATGCACTGTGTGTTTTTGGCCATGGTGGAGCATGGTGGTTCCACGTGATTTGTTAATCACATAGTTTCAAAGATTTTTTTTCCCAGTTCGTCGTTTTATATATACTTTATTTCTTGCCAATTATATACAATAATATTTTCTTTATTTACAACCCCAAAAGGTATGGTATTCTAGAAAATAAATATATTTTTTTTGTCTTTTTATGCGGCTCTTTTTGCATCGAGGCAAGAGATGTTAGTACAATTGATGATTTCACGAACCATCAGAATTTGGTACAAATAAAGTAACATCACTATTTAAATTATTGTTAATCATATATATGGAATCTTTCATCAGCAAAAAGAAAAAAAAAATCCCCAACCAACAATATTTTGTCGGGAAACATTATCAATCAAGAAACACAAACAAGGAAATGGCATTATCTTGTTCCCTTTGGTACAAAAAAAAAACTCATTTCTAACACATTTCAATTTTTTTTTTTGCTGTTTATTGCCCTGAAAACATCGGTAGGGTGGCGATGAAGGAGTTTGCGAAACGGCTGGAGAATCTGGCGGAGGAATTGATGGATCTGCTGTGTGAGAATTTAGGGTTAGAGAAAGGATACATGAAGAAGTTGTTCCATGGGACAAAAGGACCAACGTTCGGGACAAAGGTGAGCAGCTATATATCCACCATGTCCTAAACCGGACTTGGTTAAGGGACTTAGGGCCCACACCGATGCCGGTGGAATCATATTGCTGTTCCAAGACGACAAAGTCAGTGGACTCCAGCTCCTTAAAGATGGCAACTGGGTTGATGTTCCTCCCCTCAAACACTCCATTGTTATCAATCTCGGCGATCAACTTGAGGTGACATTTTCATATTATTATATTGTTTTTTTCCTTAACCAAGTAGGACCAAGGTTCAAAAATAGGGTTTTTTCGGTTTAGTATCGGTTAATGACTAGCTATAACCAAACTAAAGCCGAGTAACTAACAACATATATATATATATATATATATATTATATACACACCTTCATATATCGTTTCTTGATTCGTTTCTTGATTCGGTTGAGTTCCGTTCGGTCATTTGTTTAACATGAAATGAACCGAGGTTATTTGAGGTTGGTTGTGCCTGATATCTAGTTCGGTTCTGTTTCGGTTCAAGTTCAACCAACCAATAACAACAAGACTTTTATCTCCGAGCAACACCAGAATCTACTAAACTGAATCCGGTTCTGATGTTTTGTGTTTAGATTTAACCAAACTGGTTAAGGTTAACCGAAATCCTCCTGACCAAATGCAGGTGATAACCAATGGAAAGTACAAGAGTGTGATGCATCGAGTGTTGACGCAAACCGAAGGAAACAGGATGTCAATTGCTTCCTTCTACAATCCCGGAAACGAAGCAGTGATTTTTCCGGCACCGGATCTTGTCGAGAAAGAATCCGATTACCCGAAATTCGTATTCGATGACTACATGAAACTCTACTCGGGGCTCAAGTTCCAGCCTAAGGAACCTCGGTTCGAAGCCATGAAGAACGTCGCGGCTTCACATAACTTGAAACCTGAGGTCGCGGTCGAAACCTTCTGATGAACTTTTGTGTTTATATGAAGCAAAAAAAAAAAAAAAGATTAAAATAAAATAACTACAAATAAGAAGAAGAAGAAGAAATAGGTTTGCTATCGGTGTTCGTGGTAATAAGTTAAACGTGGTTTATTGGGTCGAAGATTAAGGGTTTTGGAAGTGTTTGATCCACAAGTGTTCTAAGTGTGGGGTTTGGTCGTGTTTGGTGGTGTGTGAGAAAATTAATAATCTCAATGAAGGTTTTTTTTTTTGGTTCATTTTTTGTTTGTGTTTTGGTGTCTGTTTATGATATTGTATAAAAGAAATAATAATTTTGAAAATTACATAAACAAATAATATTTCTTCATTAAAATTTCCATTGGAATCTGCGCTAATCAAGGCTTGAAAATGTCTACCCTGTGATCCATTTCCAGCCGTTGGATCTGCTTATTTCCGAAAAGTCGTAGTCAAACCCTCCGAATCCACATGATTTAATCACGGGTTCTTTGATGGGCCGTAAGGCCCAAATCCCTTGTCAATCAGCCCAAGGATAAAACCGTAATTCATCCCTCGAGTCTTTAGGGTTTCACATTCCGAGTCTATAAAAACCCATCTGCAGAGCAATTCTCCGGATCATCCCGCCGCTCGATCAGTGTCTTCCGTTTTCTTTTCTCATCCCGAGTTTTTTGGTTATGGCTTCGATATTTTTTTTGTTGTTAGCGAGAAGTATCAGAACCTCGGGTTCGATATAGATCGGACAAGATGGTGAATGTCTGTTGTTCGGATAGGAACCTGCGAGGGAAAGTGATCTGCCGAGATATCGTTTCAGTCGTCCTCTCTCGGTTGACGATCTGATTGTTGCTCGTCCACATTTTTTTTTCATCCGATTTGGGTTTTTTTTTTTTTACTTCCCAATGAAAATTAATCTTGCTTAATTTTTCGCGAACTTGATCTGAGAGCGATGGATTTGAATGTCCTTTCCGATCCGTATATCATAATCATTGACATTTTTAATATATTTTCTTAGAAATTCATTACTATTTATGATAATCGATTAGTACAGTATGGAAATTCATTTAAATTTAAATTGGTAAAATTTTAATATGTAAACGACTTTACTGAAACGGAGGCATAAGATGATCTGTAGCAATCGAATCATGTGAATATGCTTCGAAGATGATTAAAAAAAGGATCCAAACGCTGATGAGAGAGAGTAGCATATGAAATTATGGATATGATGAATGATTTGTATTATTTTAGTACCAAGAGGTTTCTTTTTTGAAGTTTCATATATTTACTTTTTATTTCAATAATAATACAAGTTATTCTAATCCATATATTCGATTACATACTCTTACTAGAGGTGATGCTTCGTTCGCCCGAAAAATATGGTATTTTTTCAGATTTCATTTTTATAAATTTTTTTATCAAAATAAAACCGAATCGAAATTTTAAAAATCTGAAAAAATATATTTTTTTAAAACCGAAATTCAACCGAATATAATGCAACAATCAATTAGTACTTATATTTATTAAACCGAATTATCCTCGATGTAAATTCGAACCGAATATCAAAAGTGAAGCTACCAAAGTGTTGCTCCTCTCCTGCAATTGTTGTTCCCCCCATTCACTATCTATTTTATTTTTCCTTTATATTCAAATTTTAAAGTTAATTTAGATTTTAATCTGTTTTAAAAAATCTCAAAATTGCTGCGCACGTGGAAAGATGCAGCATTCTAGGGGTGCCCAATTCGGGTTTCGGTTCGGTAATATTTGGGTTCCGTTATTTCGGTTATAGAAAAACTATAACCATTCGGTTTTTATATAAATTCCGGTTCGGTTATTTTTCGGTTCGGATTCGGTTCGGTTTTGGTAAAAAGTTCAATTTTTCAAAGAAAATGTCAATTATTCTTTTGATTTTTTCGGTTATTTTTTATTCGGTACGGTTGGATTTCGATTTTAGTTTTTCGGATTTAAAGAAATCATAACCGTTCTGTTTTGATGTCGGGTTCGGTTCGGATAAGGTTATGTCTTATTCGGTTCGGTTTGGTTCGGTTATTCGGTTAATAACTGAAATAACCACCCCTATAACATTCTATCTCGGCCCTGTAAAAAATCGAGAGGGAAATTCTTACGTTAATAAACTCCAAATTGTCCTGATAACCATATAATAGTTTAAATAAAATAATCTGAAGTGATATCTGCCTTAAACATGGTAAAAATTACATTTAATTTCACAAAGATCGTATGAACTCATAGCATATCCAATTAATATCCATTTTTTTTAAATTTAATAAAAAGTCCGTTTAGAATCAATAATGGGCCTCTATTGCCCAAACTCAGCCCATAATCCGTCTTTTTCTTTGCTCTATGGGCCTTATACCATTTTAAAACGTCTTCTTAGTGAGCCCATTTAAGGCCTATTAAAAACACAATACACTATCCGCCGAATTATTGACCATATGCATATATTTGGGCCGCCTTATTATTATTTTATGTTATAATATAAGATGGAATCATGTCTCTAAAGTGAAAATTAGAGAGAGAGAGAGAGAGTAATCACGTGGAAACAGGTTAATGAGGACAAATTTCAGACAGACAAAAGGACAAAGATAAGTTTGGCTTGGATTCTCAAATTTGGCTCATACGACTTCCAAATGTTTTTATCATAACAATAATAATAAAATTCGAACTCGTCGGTGCAATTAATTTCACCCGACAACTTCATTCACTGCGCTGTTACAATTATTACTTTACAGATACATTATTTCTGGTGCATTTTTCCTTTTATTTATTTGACTTCCATTTATTTCTCTTTTTTTGGGGGTAAAAATATATAATTATTTTACTAGAAAACAATTACTTAAAAATAATTACAAATACGCGGTCCGGCCAACGTTAGTTGGCGGTGTTTTATTATGTTTTTTTTTCTCCATTTTTTTAAAAGATAAAATTAATTCTGAGGCTTTTGAACCAAAAACAATGGGCAACACGTCTTGAAAATTAAATTGATTTGATCATTTTATGGTTGTTTTGTTGCGTTTTAACAAAATAAAATAAAAAAACAAAACAGTGAGGCCAACACGTCGTGGTAAAAGTCAAGCCTCTCCCGGCTAACCTTTGTCTTACAAATGATTGTCGCCCACTTTTGTTTGCAGTCGAATATCAACTGGAATAAATTATTTAAAAAAAAAAAGTTTTCAAATTTCCATGAAAAGACTTTTTTAAAAAAAAAATCTAAACTTATTCATTGGTATATTTAATAATTTTCCCAACGTATATCACAGACGTGCCAGCATGTCAATTACATCACAAAATTTAAAATCTATACGGAGAAAATAATTATATAAAAAATGACAACAACAAATAATTCCCAAAAAGGTTTTATAAAAACAGAGCACATGGAACACCGAGATCTCACATTGGTGAGAACCTCCTCACTTCTCTCACCCCATATGCCTTGAAAACAAAAACCAAACACATCTCTCTCTCTTTCATGTGAACATCTCAAAAAAAAAAAAAGACAAACACGATGTCTCTGTTTCTTCCTCGTCTCTTCCTCCTCCTCTTACTCTCCTCCGCCTCCTTCCGCCACGTCACCGCCGACGATGAAGACGGTGATGACGTCAGGGTCGACCCGAGCCTCCGGTTCGAGAATCCGAAGCTCCGTCAAGCCTACATTGCTCTCCAGGCGTGGAAGCTCGCCATTTTCTCCGACCCTTTTAACTTCACAGCCAACTGGAACGGATCCGATGTCTGTTCTTACAACGGAATCTTCTGTGCTCCTCTTCCTTCCGACAACAAGACACGTGTCGTCGCCGGAATCGACCTCAACCACGCCGACATCGCCGGTTACTTGCCGCCGGAGCTCGGCCTTCTCACCGATCTCGCCCTGTTTCACCTGAACTCGAACCGGTTCTGCGGCGAAGTCCCCGACACGTTTAAGCGTATGAAGCTTCTCTACGAACTCGATCTAAGCAACAACAGGTTCGTGGGTAAGTTCCCTGAGGTTGTCTTGTTATTACCCTCGCTTAAGTTCTTGGATCTTCGTTACAACGAGTTCGAGGGCAAGATTCCGGCGAAGCTGTTCGATAAAAAGCTCGACGCGATCTTCCTGAACAACAACCGATTCAGATTCGGAATCCCCGAGAACATGGGATACTCCCCTGTTTCAGCTCTTGTCCTGGCGAACAACGACCTCGGAGGGTGTATCCCTGGGAGTATCGGTCTCATGGGCAAAACCCTGAACGAGATCATCCTCTCGAACGATAACCTAACCGGCTGTTTGCCTCCTCAGATCGGAAATCTCAAGAACGTTACTGTTTTCGACGTCAGCTTTAACCATCTCCGTGGTCCGATCCCTGACAGTATCGGGAACATGAAGAGTTTGGAGCAACTCAACGTTGCGGACAATGCGTTCACGGGTTCTATCCCGTCCACGATTTGTCAGCTGTCGAGGATCGAGAATTTCACGTACTCTTTCAACTACTTCACCCGAGACGCGCCTCGATGTGGTTCGCTGTCTGGCCCGAGGGTTGTGGTTAATGGTACGAGGAATTGTATTCGTGGAAAGCCGCTTCAGAGACCAGCTCGGGAGTGTTCTTCTTCGGAGGCCAGACCGGCGGATTGTTCCAAGTTCGGATGTAATAACATGCCGTCTCCTCCTCCTCCTTCTTTCAAGATGTCTCCTTCTGTTAGAACGCTTCCTCCGCCGCCGCCGCCGAAGTACGGATCAACTCCTCCTCCTCCTTCGTTTAAGATGTCTCCTTCTGTCAGAGCTTATCCTCCTCCTCCTCCGCCGGAGTATAAGCCTCCGACGCCGTCTCCTCCTTCTTCCGGTATGTCGCCGTCGACGAGAACCTACCCTCCTCCGCCGCCGCAGAAGTATGAGACTCCGTCGCCACCTTCTTCCGGTATGTCGCCGTCGACGAGATCATCCCCTCCTCCGCCGTCTCCTTCTTCCGGCATGTCGCCGTCGACGAGAACCTACCCCCCTCCGCCACCGCCGCCTCAGAAGTATGAGACCCCGTCGCCTCCTTCTTCCGGTATGTCGCCGTCGACGAGATCGTACCCTCCTCCTCCGCCTCCATCTCCGACTTATGTCTACTCATCTCCGTCGCCCCCTCCGCCGGTGGTTTACTATCCACCAGTGACGCAGAGTCCGCCGCCGCCTCCGGAGTGTAAGCCGACACCTTCACCTAGCGAATATTACCCATCTCCGTCACCACCACCACCGTCGTATCCTCAATACACATCTCCTCCTCCTCCGCCTCCGCCGTCGCCGCCACCACCACCGGAATACTACCCACCCACCGTACAAAGTCCTCCCCCGCCGCCTCCGGTCGAGTATCACCCACCGGAAAACTCAAGCCCACCACCGCCGGTATACTATCCACCCACCGTACAAAGTCCTCCTCCTCCACCGCCTCCGGTCGAGTACCACTCACCGGAAAACTCAAGCCCACCACCGCCGGTATACTCTTCACCATCACCGCCGGAATACTACCCACCCACCGTACAAAGTCCTCCTCCGCCGCCTCCCGTCGACAACCAC